GTGAGGCGGTGGCGGTGAGAGCAGGGGCGGTGAGGCGGCGACAGCGGCAGCCTCCTGGGTGTCTGAGCAATTAGAGCGGTGCCTGCACCATGTGGAGATGGGTCTTGGGACTCTGAGATCTGGACTTTTCTTTTTCTCTTGCTTACCTTTTGGATCTGTTAAAATCTTTTAATTCTGGTTTTTGTTATGAAGTGGGCACCAGTGAATGACAACTTTGTACACTTTACGCTTTACTTATTTATTGCTATACTTAGATTTATTCGTTTGTCACAAGTACTAAATCATGATCAAAATATTCTGACTTATTGATTGTGGTGGCAGATCGTTGACTACCCCCCACTGGTTCAACAGTTTCTCTTCTGGACGTGAAGATTTCTTTTGCATTTTGTCCTGCAGTGTGAAATGGTACATACCTTTCTTCATTCATTTTCTAACTTGAGACTACTTTTGCAGGATGTAGCACCCTTATGGCGGACTCATCAAGTGATTCAGACACGCACCTTCATAACTTTTGCAGGCAGCGAGGACCATTGAGGCGAGCAACTAAGGGAAGGAGCAGAATGCACAATACTGGTGATGTGTCTGAAAAAATAGATGCATTAGCAAGCACTTTACAGGTACTTTGCTGGATTTATAAATTTCTTTATCTTGGCTTGTCATGCTTGGGCGCTTGAAGTACAGCAAACTTTGTTTTAACAGACACCTTATGAGTCAGCACTCCTGATAAATCTTGGTAAATATTACACACCTCAAATGCTGCAAAGTTTACTGTATTATTCTGTCCAATTATTATAGTTTTAAAATTTTAAAATATAAATATACTTGCTCAATGGAATGGCGATGCGAAATATCAACAGTTGATTCAATTTTGAGTCCATTTCTCTTCAAGTACCATGATGCCCGAGTAGTCAGTTGAGGGTGTGAGTGAGAAGGCTCTCTGCTGGTAAGTTTTATTGAAGGCAAAGTTGCATTATTATTTAAGTGATTTATGCTGCAAATAAAGTATAATAGTGATGTGTATACCTCCTGCATTACGTTTCTATTATGTAGTGTGTGTTTTTACATTGATTACGTGGATTTCTTGATTATTCCAGAATATTTAATCAATCAGCACACTCTTGGTTCCACAGGTGCTGGATAATAAAACATTTGCTGTATTTACAAACATAGAACATAGGAGTGGTTAGTCCATTCAGTACGATCATTGGCTGCTCGTTCATCACAGTGTGTTCTTGTTTTCTCTTCACACCCTTTGATCCCTTTTAGCCCTAAGAACTACATCTTTCTTCTTGAAAATATTAAATGTTTTGGCAATTTTCTGTAGTGTTTGCTTGAAATTTAAAAATGTAAAGGAAAGTTTTGGGACAAAACTAGTTATATAATTAAATGAGGGAAAAGGTTATGTAAACCTGTGTTCATTGATGTCTGCCTTTAGATATTACAGAAACTGTCCGTGTGCTGGGTAAGTAAAAATGGCAGCTGCAAGAGTCTGATAATTTTAAGGTAGAGGTGAATAGATTCTTGATAATCAAGGGTCGAAAGCTTATCGGGGGTAAGCAGGAATGTGGATTTGAGCTTACAGTCAGTTCAGCTGAATAGCCTACTCCTGCTCTTAACTCTCACATTTGTATTTAATACCTTTCAGTGATGTGTCTAAAATCCCCAAAAGTGTGAGATATGTACAACATATGTATATTTATTTAAATCCAGGACCATTTGTAGTTGTTGGGAATTTTTAAAAACATGGAGAAATAGATTTGGATGGCTTTTTCAGAAATTGAGTTAAGCATGTCAAATGACTTCTAAGCATCCTCCGAATAGATCTGTAGAGTGAAGATATTTTCTCTGAATGATCAGTGATCTGGGAGAAATTGAGTGCAAGGTAAGAATAGTAAATTCATACTAAGAGGTTTTGAGAGTATTATTGAGAGCTAGGGTTGTCGGTATGAATTTAATTCCCCATTTATGGCAGAAATTGGATAATTGCCTTTTCAATATATCTGTATACAACTGGCAATACTCCAATAAGCAACTATTATCTGATTATTTGTTTAAAAGTCTTGTGATGAATTTGAGTTACCTAATTTCAGTGCCTTTGAGATAGCCCAACAGGGATAGCGAAGAATTCACTGTGACAGATTAGAGATACCTCTATTTCAGGCAGTAACCTCCAGTGATATCAAAATATAGAATGTGATTTTTAAGTTGCATATTTTTGTTAAATTTCAAATGATAAAAACCAGCCTTAGCAGTGACTCGTTTTCTGTTTGAGGAGTTTAGGACTTTTTGATGTTTGAATGCATTTCAGGATACCAGTCGAGACCTAACGAATGTTGATCGGATGCTTGGACGTTATAGAGGCTATTCCAATGAGCAAATGGAGACAGTGGCACAGGTTGGTGCTTGTGAAAGATGAGTAATTTTATAAGAATGGTAACTCTTGCTTTATTTCCCCTTCTCCTTTCTCAGTGTCAACGATACACCAACAGCATGAATCGTTGACCATTCTCGGAGAGCTGACAGCATTCTGGCAATAGAAGACTTGTGCTTCAGAACTTGCCGCTCCCCTATCCAAGCTCTTCCAGTATATTTACAATGGTGGAATCTACCTGATAATTGCCCATGTATATCCCGTACATAAAAAGCTGGACAAATCCAACCCAGCCAATTACCACCCAATCAGTCGACTTTCGATCATCAGTAAAGTGATGGAGGGTGTCATCAACAGCGCTGTCAAGCAGCGCCTGCTCAGCAATAACCTGCTCAGTGACGCCCAGTTTGGGTTCTGCCAGGGTCACTCAGCTCCTGGCCTCATTACAGCCTTGGTTCAAATGTGGACAAAAGAGCTGTATTTCAGAGGTGAGATGAGAGTGACAGGGGCCCTTGACATAGAGGCTACATTCGACTGAGTGTGGCATCAAGGAGCCCCAGCAAAACTGGAATCAATGGGTATTGGGGGGGCAACTCTCCGGTGGTTGGAGTCATACCTGGCACATAGGGAGATGGTCGTTGTTTTTGAAGGTCAGTCATCTCAGCTCCAGGACATCTCTGCAGGAGTTCCTCAGGGTAGTGTCCTAGGCCCAACCATCTTCAACTTCTTCATAGATGACCTTCCCTCCATCATAAGGTCTGAAGTAGAAATGTTCGCTGATGATTGCACAGTATTCAGCACCATTTGTGACTTCTCAGACACTGAAGCAGTCTGTGTTCAAATGGAACAAAATCTGGACAATATCCAGGCTTGGGCTGACAAGTGGCAAGTAACATTCACTCCACACAAATGCCAGGCTATGACTAATAAGAGACCATCAAATCACTGCCCCTTGACATTCAATGATGTTACCATTCCTGAATCCCCACTATCAACATCCTGGGGGTTACCATTGGCCAGAAATTCAATTGCACTCCCCACATAAACACTGGCTACAAGAGCAGGTCAGAGACTAGGAATACTGTGGCGAGCCCAAAGCCCGTCCACCATCTACAAGGCACAAGTCGGGAGTTTGATGGAATACTCCCCACTTGCCTGGATGGGTGGAGCTCCAACAACACTCCAGAGCTTGACACCATCCAGGACAAAGCAGTCTGCTTGATTTTTTTAAAAAAATTCATTCATGGGAAGAGGGCATCGCTGGCCAGGCTAGCATTTATTGCCCATCCTAGAGGTCAGTTAAGAGTCAACTACATTGCTGTGGGTCTGGAGTCACATGTAGGCCAGGCCAGGTAAGGGTGGTAGTTTCCTTCCTTAAAGGACAATAGTGAACCAGATGGGTTTTTCCAACAATTTTTGATAATTAGTATTATCAAAAGTTATGTGATTTTAAAATGTCCACATTGAGACTGATCAGTAATTGTATTATGTTGCACATGTGTGGAGAAAGTTGAATTCTGAAATAATAGTTATTGTCTTGTTGACTTACAGAAATGGTCAGTTAAAGTAAACAGGAATGGCTGGTAGAATATGGTTCTTTTAAAATGTTTTTTTAAACAAAGTAAAAATACCTCTGGATGGTGGAATTTGAGACCATTTATAAGGAGTTTTCAGAGTAAATTCATCCCAGTGTCTTAGAGATCTGTGTTTTGAACTGTAAAGAATTCTTATTTAATTTTTTTAAGGGGAATTTGCATTGGGACAAAGTTATCCTAACTTCCTGCAAGTGGAAATGTTTCTCAAAGGAGGGTTGTCCAATCTTGTCAAGATTGATTGATTTAACAAATACAACAGGTGACCAGCATTATTAGTGATAGTCCATTCCTCAGCCTGGGATGCTGTGCTACAATCATAAGCATTGAAAATGCCTGCCTTCTCTGCTTTTTTAATGTCTGACTAGTGGGAAGGAAGTTAACTTTCCCAATTTGGATTAGAGAAGTGCTCAGTGGAGTATCACTGGAGCCTTTCTTTAGTGAATTTTTGCATCACTAGGCATTTAACAAACTGGCACTCGTGAAACATGTTGTCAGTATTTGATTATTTTTATTAGCAAACAGAAAATGCTGGAGAAACTCAGCAGGTCTGGCAGCATCTGTGAAGAAACAAAGAGTTGATGTTTTGAGTCTGATATGACTTCTTCAGATTATTTCCACTATAGACATTGGTTCCATCGCAGAATTATAACGTTGAAGAATGGTCACACATTCTGCAAGACTTGTCAATGGAGGATTGTTTGTTTTAAAGAAATATTTCCTTGGGATGTGGACATTGCTGTTAAGAACAGTATTTGTTGCCCATCCCCAACTGCTTTTGGACTGAGAGGCTTACTAGATAAATGGGGAGGGCAGTTAAGACTCAACTGCATTATTTTAGATCTGAAGTCACATATTGGCCAGGCCAGTAAGGATGGCAGGTTCCCTTCCCTAAATGACGTTCATGAGCCTGAAGGGATTTTATGACAATCAGAGATAGTTTCATGGTTACCATTCCTAAGGCTGCTTTTCAATTTCAGATTTATTAGGTGAATTTAAGTTCCTCCAGCTGTCAGGTGGGGTTTGAGCCATGTGTGCAAAACGTGGGTCTCTGACATATTGAGGCTAATCATCCAGTCTCCCCAGATTCTTTGGTACGTGACAATTGAAGCATAGATAATGACATCCTTTACATGAATATAACTTGGTTTTTGAACCTTAGGAAAGCAGAACTATGTGGGAGGAATGGGGGAAGGAAATATTAGTTGTGCATTGTTACAGCCAAGACCTCATCCAATATCCAGCAGAGTTTCCCAGGAAAGTCGTCTGAAGTGGAAAATCTAGTGCTAGTCATGGGTCTCCTATTATTTGGCTTGGATTAGGACAAATCAGGGCAGGACTTAAACACTTAATGGTAAAATCCTGGGGAGTATTGGTGAGAGAAGAGACCTTGGCGTACAGGTTCATAGTTCCTTGAAAGTGGAGTCGCAGGTAGATAGGATAGTGAAGAAGGCGTTTGATATGCTTCCCTTGCTTGGCCAGTGCATTGAGTATAGGAGTTGGGAGGTCATATTGTGGCTGTACAGGACATCGGTTAGGCCACTTTTGGAACACTGCACTCAATTCTGAACTCTCTACTATAGGAAAGATGTTGTGAAACTTGAAAGGGTTCTGAAAAGATTTGCAAGGGTGTTGTCGGGGTTGGAGGGTATTGAGCTATAGGGATAGGCTGAATAAACTGGGGCTATTTCCCTGGAGTGTTGGATGCTGCGTGATGACCTTATAGAAGTTTATAAAATCCTGAGGGGCATGGAGAGGGTGAATAGCCAAGGTCTTTTCCCCAGGGTAGGGAGTCCAAAACTAGAGGGCATAGGTTTAAGGTGAGAAGGGAAAGATTTAAAAGGGACCTTAGGGGCAACTTTTTCATGCAGAGGATAGTTCATGTATGGGATGAGCTGTCAGAGGAAGTGGTTGAGGCTGGTACAATTACAACATTTAAAAGGCATTTGGCTGGGTACATGAATAGGAAAGGTTTAGAGGGATATGGGCCAAATGCTAACAAAATGGGACTAGATCAGTTTAGGCAATTTGGTCGGCTTGGATGAGTTGGACCGAAGTGTTTGTTTCAGAGGTGTTCATCTCTGAGTTACTGAGCCCATAATTGGTTTCAATGGCTACATCTCAGCTCCCAAGACATCTGTGGTAATCACTTGGACATCACTTTGCTTGCTTTTCACTTCTGTGTGTTCACCACTGAAATTCAGCAAAGGGTTTCATTCTCTTTCCCTCTATAAATCTTACACCCGATCCTTGTAAATCTATACAGTGTTCCTACATTTCTGGTGCATGTCTTCCATTCAGCTTGCACTTTCAATCATTTTAATGTTTATTTCCCTCCTTTGTTTTTGCTTTTAACTGCCTTTTTAAAGTTGGACTGAGATATTGGAGTGAGTTGGTTAATTCTTTCAAAGAGCTAACACAGACCTGATGGAACAAGCCTCCTCTCCTGTATGGGTTTTGTGATAATGTGACAATACCCTCCTTAAAAATGGAGAAAGATGAATCCATTCAACCCATTAATTCCTGATATGTACTTGTAAATGTGTTCAAAATTCAAAATCTTTGTGGTCTGACCTCCCACATTTTGTTTGCTTTCCTCTGGTGCTTGCATACTGGAGAAAAAGCCTTTCTGAATCAAAATCAGAAATTGCTGTAAAAACTCGCAGGTCTAGTACCACTATGAGGGGAGAAATCAGAGTTAACGCTTCAGGTCCAGTGACCCTTCCACAGCACTGAACGGAAAGAACAAAACTTTCTGATTTTGGATGCAAAGACACTTAAATTATGACAGATTCTGTTATGCAGTGATTCTCAACACACATTTTGCAGCTGTGTGTTATGGAGCTGCCCTTTCTCTTGGCATTTGTTCACAGCAGTGCTGATGAAAACTGGCAGAAAGACTAATTAGGCTTAAGAATCCCGACACTTTAAAATGGAGGACCCTTGACTTTTTTCTTAACATAACACAGACGTAAGTTTTTTTTTGTGAAGTTCAGTCTCTTCTGAATCTACAATATGATGTTTTGATGAATATTTTGGTAACTTTTATTTGGTAAAGCCAGCGCTGAAATATCTCCACACAGTTTGGATGATGTGTTGGAAATTCTTTAACAATTAAATAAATTAATTGGTCCTGAAGTGGCATTATAAATGTCATAACCTTAGTTTTGTCACAGTTGGGGAAATCATATTTGAATAAAATAACACAGGAGATTTTACCTAAATTTTTCTTTTAATTTTTGAAGCTACGAGATGATTTGGAACAATCCATTGATGAGTTGCGAAGTCAGCGATTGAGCAGACAAGCTGGACATTCAATTCCTTCTCTTCGCACAAGTGACCTTCAAGATAACTCGGCAACAAGTAAGAAAAACCTTATTATGGTGAGACTGTAAGATGGTGGAGGAGGGTTGTCCTCTGAATTTTATATCCATTCAAACTTTTACATGCAAAATACTGTACTGCAGTGCAGCAGTTCCTTCTGTATTTTTTTGCATAATCCTGAGGAAAGTAGGCTGGTTTTGATATAAATGCTGGCATCTAATGAACTTGCTCCAGTTATAAGTTTTTTTTCCTCCGATACCATCTTTCTCCTGAAGCCCGAATGAGTGCAGCTCTAGCACTATCCATGAAGCTCGACATTATCAAGGAGAAAGCAGCCTGCTTGATCGATAACCATTCCATCGGCAATTTTAAACATTAATTCCGTCATCTTTTGGTGCAGCAATCCATCAAGAATTCCTTTGACAGCTCCTTCTAAATCCACAATCTTTATCTAGAAGAACAAGGGCAGCAGAAGCACAGTATCACCTGCATCAAGGTTACCATCAAGTCATACACTTGGAACTGTACCATTGATCCTGCAACAGTGAAGAAACAGTATCCTGGAACTCCCTTCCTAACAGCATTGTGGCTATACCTATACCACATAGACTGCATATATTCAAGAAGGAGGCTCACCACCAGCTTCTGATGGGCATTTAGGGATGGGCAATAAATGCTGGCCTATTAATGATGCTCACATCCCATAAATGAATGGAAAAAAAAGGCTGCTGAGTGTCACTGATACATGGTTTGATGATATTTGTTGTTTGCATGCCCTTGGATCTAGTAATGAATATAATAATGTCCTTCCCTGCATCCATATGCACTATTCACTCTCTAGCTATTGTGGTGAGGACCCTAGTTTTCTTTTCCTATCAGCCCAAAGTCCAGTTCTAATTTATAAAAGGTTGGTTGTCCAGCCATAACTGTTCAGTGGACATAGGTTAACCATATGGACTGCACCACACTGCAGTGTTCTCCATTTTACTTGAGTCTAAGTATTGTATTGAAGCCCTTCTGCAAGTCCCTGTATACTATGTGCATTGCATTGCCTTTTTCTGTGGTTTCTATTATTACTTCTTCTATTTCCTTTTACATAACTTGATATTTTTATTTCATATTTTTATTCACTTTGGTGAATTGATGGCTGTTGTGACTGTCTTTTCTTGATGCATTTTACATCAGCTTTGCCCAGTAGATTCAGATTTGTTTAGTGGTATCTAAGTCTTGGTTTCTGTTTTTTAAAGAAACATATTTCTCTTAGACTGTGGTCTTTTCTGTTGTTCTACATTTTTATCAATATTTTCTTCCATTTTATCTTCTATAGCTCCATAGTGGTTGTAATAGTTGGCTATTTTATATTATGGTATGCTTTATGACTGTTTGCTGTGCATCTCATCTCCGTAGCTAGCACCTCTTTTAAACTCACGACCTCTATCACCTAGAAGAACAAGGACAGCAGATGCAGGGGAGAACCTCCACGTGCAAGTTCACCTCCAAGTTAGACGCCATGTTGATCTGGAACTATGTTGCTGTTCTTTCTCTGTTGCTAGGTCAAAATTGAGAAAATTACTTCCTAACAGCACTGTGGGTCTGCTTACACCAGATGGACTGCAGCGCTTCAAACATATGACTCATTAACACCTTTTCAGTCCTCCATTTTATTTCTCTTTTGATTAATATTATTTCCAATAAAGTGTCTTTCCTCTTTTCCTAAGTTAAAGTCCCCTTTTTTAAAAACAATTCAATGTTTTCTTGAATTATTTACAACTTTTAAAAATTATGATTGCTAGCTAAATGTGTGAGATGAAGTAAATTTAGTGGATTTTTATTTTTCCAGACAGTCATCGGTACCGTCCTACCTCACCTCTCAGGGACTCCGGGGTGTACCTAGGAATGGATCGCAGAAGGTCCAGATCTGCAACTGTGAGATTTGTAGATGACCTGGAGCCATTAAATCACGTATGTTAAAATGTTGAAAAGACTTAAGAGTGTCATTTTGCCCATCTGCACCTGTCTATTGAAATCTAGAGATCTCTGACCTCCATATCTATTTGCCTCTGTTGCCCCTCGATTCAATGTTTATAATTTTTTCAACCTTATTCTTTTATAGTTATCCACTTTCAAAATCCTTAAGTTTTTTTCTTCTCTGAGGAATGGAATGATCCAAGGTGCTGTCTGCCCTCCCATTTCAAAAAAGAGAAATGGATTTATAGACAATACTTATCTCATAGCCAACATAGTAGGAGAAGATTATTTGATCATTCTCTTCTTGCCTCTTTCCTTGCTGTATGCAAAATGGCTGCTGTGTTTCCTACATTACACTTCAAATGTATTTCATTGGCTGCAAAGACAATATTCTGAAGTTGTGCAAGGCACTTTAGAAATGGGGAAGCCTTATGAAAAGCTGGAATTATGAGGAAATAGAGAAGAAATGACACACTTGTGTATTTTGTGTCAAGTGAAAATGGCAGAAATGCTGTGCAAGTCAGGTAGCATCTGTGGAGAATGAAAGCGAGTTTACAGTTCAGGTCGATGACCATCTAGGATCATGGATGTGAAAATGTAGAATCTCTTTCCTTTTCAACAGATGCTGCCTGACTTGAGGATTTCCAGAATTTTCTGTTTCTATTTGGATTCACAGCACTTACAGTATTTTACCTTTTACTTGTGTCTATTAATCGCTTGGCTTTGTAGTAGTACTTCCTGTTGAGTTAAACAATTCTGGCTGCATCTCATTATGAACATTTCAATTCTGTACTCCCTCTGTATTGTAAGTGTTTGTTTCAGATGTGATGTTAAACTGGGGCTCCATCTACCTGTCGAGGTGTGACCTATCCAGGGCTTTGCATCAAGCTGAGGCCATTTCTTGTTATTTTTTAATAAGTAATTTACAATTGGCGTTTTGGCGGCTGCAGGTCAAGATCAGTTGTTTTATTTCCAGCTCTCACCCCTCTTTACTGTTGGGGAGCATACAGAATAGAATATTTAAATTGTGACAACTTCTATCTGTGTTTTGTGGACTTAGTGGGTTCTGTCAAAATGAGGAGAGTGTGCACTGCTTACCTGCATAACTATTATACAGCTATATACAGACTGAATGCTGTCTCCACACAGCTATAACTTTCAGTAGTTTGATTTAAATATGGTGATCTCAGCATGGCAATGAATTTCTGAATTTGTCAGGCACCTAGCTACTCAAAAATTTAAGTATGTTTAACCTCTCTCCTTACATTTAGCAATCAGCGCCATCTGTTGTAGCTACTCAACTCAACAAAGATCTTCCATTTACTTGCAGTTCCCATGCAGACCAAGGTGAAAGATTGACATCTCTGTGTAGTATTCCTGATTGTGTTTGTTTAGGAAAAAAACAGTGATGAACAGGCAACTAATCTTATTTCTGGTAGAAATTATACTGTATATGGCGGTGTATAACATTGAACCAGTTAAGACTTTTGTCTTTTCCTGCAGGTACATACCTTGCACAGGTCACTACGAGATCTAAGGAGCGACCAGTTACGCCTTGGACAGGAATTTGATGAGGAAGTAGCAAAACGGAATAGGTATGGATTCCGCTTTTCTCATCTCTTGGGTACTCATTAGCAGGCTGTGTACTTGAAGACCTAGAGCTATAGCCTCCATACAGCGATTGACTTATGAACCAGTGTGTATTAGAATTACAACTTTGGATGCGTATATTTCAACCTATGGCCTCCTTTCACTATTGGCAACCGAAAAGCCATCGTTGTAGTGCACTGCCTCCCTGTGCCATTCTGAAAGCCGATTGGATTGTTCTTAACTGTCTCTCTAAACAACCTTTTTGTCTCCATTATCAACATTTTCATCATTCTTAGATTTAAATAAAGTTCAAGTGCAGTTTGTTTTAAGAAATTTGATATTCTCTATCTAGTTACTCTCAACGCTGCTCTGGAGCTTAGTCTTTAATTCCTGAAATTGGGCCTTAATCATTTGAATTGGCTTTTTTGCCAGTTGCTGTGGCAGCTTGTTCCTAGGAGGGTAGCCTGGAATGGCCAGTGCCATCAGGAAGCCATCCTGACCCACTACGAACTGAATTTCACTTCCTCTAAAGCTGCCTCTGTGGAGCTGGGAAAATTCAACCCTGTTTAACCAACTGTGCATAGCAGGGACAGATCGAATGTACTCTGATGATCAGCCTTGCTGTTACTCACTATTGGTTCGGTCTTGGTGGACCCCTCAACAGAATTGCTCTATTCTGCCAAGTCTGAGGCAGAAAGTAATCATTAGTTTTGCACTGCTACAAGTAAAATCTCTTGCGGGGTGGGATAGTTGGTGTGAAGGGGCGCGAGTAGGGTGGATGTTAGGTTGCTTGTAAGATTTGTCTTCAACATAGATGACGTAAACGTTTTCAAAAACAGGACCGATGTGGAGACTCGAAAAGCTGTGAACTCTATATCAGAGAAACTCCGAGACATGTCCGGGACAGAAACGGTGAGTTTCTGAACATATTTTCAATAAAAATGCGAACCTTTTGCATAGGTTGAACCATAGCAAAGCAGGCAACGATGTTATACTATCTTAATGCAAGTGATTTTGATATATTTGTTTAACCAAAGGAAATAATTATTTTCATTCATCCTAGAATTATTGTGATTTTAATAATTTGTAATTGAATATAAGCCAGTCAGCTGTTGAAAAAGGTAGCAGACAGAATGGGAAGATTGTATTGTTTAATTTTGCGCTGTAAATCCACAAGGGTGGAGTTTGAACTTCATGTAAAATTCTGACAAGGCTGGACAGACTAAATACAAGGATGTTTTCTGTGATTGGAGCGTCTCGAACCAAAAGTCACAGTCTCAGAATATAGGTTAGGCCATTTAGGAGTGAGATGAGGAATCATTTCTTCGTTCAGAGGAGGGTGGTCAACTTGTGGAATTTACTAGGGAAGGCCACGTCACTGAGTATATTCAAGAAAGAGATTGTTAAACTTTTAGTTGTTAAAGGCATCAAAGGATATGGAGAGAAAGTGGGAATATGGAGTTAAAATAGAAGATCAACCACGATCATATTGAATGGTGGATCAGGCTTGAAGGGTCAAATGGCTTACTCCTGCTCCTAGTTTCTATGTTGATGACAGGTGGAAGAGAACACAAGGCCTGGAATTCCAACAGGGTATTCTAACAGACCAAAATTGCATTGGTGGAATACCAGAAGTATCCTCCTCCTCTAGTTTCCTGCCTGAATGCAGTTCTGACTTATGGTAGGGCAACGAGGCAGGTGTCAAATCTTCACCAGCCAAAATAGGATTTGAGACCCATGCAGTTGGCATCAGTCTTATCCACTTTGGCTATCCAGCCAACTGAACAAAACAGCCCCCCCCAAGGAGTCCGAGCTGCCGTGGCTGCAAGCTATGAATAGTGATGGTCGAGTCTCCAGTTTTCTTGTGGCCACAGAGCTGACCAGGTATCTCTCCCACTCTTATCACCTGCCATTGGTGTATGTTAGGTTTACAGGCTGATACTTTACCTATTTGGCTGCTTTACAAAAAGATATTCCAAGGCTCATAAAGTCCTGGAGGGGACTTGAACGCATTTGTTCTGGCTCAGTGATAGGACCATCCCTAACGGAAGCATTGCTGCCTTTAATTATATGTAACAGAGAATGATAGCAACCTGAACAAAGCACTCTCCTATGTCTGCCACATGAATATATTCTTCAAGAACGACTTAATTCTCTTCATATAATATGTTATCCTTCCCTGTCCATTTTAAGTTATTTTTAGTAGCATCTTTTGTTGGAATACTTAGATTGACACTTCGATGATCCTCAAGGAGTATGAGTCAAAGACTACCAGGTGAATCTTTAATCTTAATTAACTTGAATTTCTTATCAAAAAGCTATCTGGAAATTCTTCATCTGTCAACCTGAGTAAGTGCTTGGTGCCTGAATTTGACTTGCTCTAAACCATTCCAAATTATGTTCATGTAGCTGCTACGAGTCCCCATTTAATCTATTGATTTATGATTTTGGCAAGAGGTTAAGGAATTCAGTGAAAATTAGATGAAAAAAATCACCAACTGAGGTTTCATTTTTTACAGAATAAAAATGCAATTACTGTCTCAATGTAAGAATCTGCAATATACAGAGATCGGTAAAAACCTGAGAGTTTAATCTGTTGTTATGAAGGCAGTTCTTTTCTTTATTATTTTCAGACAGTGGGTATTGCTGGCAATGTTAGCACTCATTGCCTGTCCCTGGTTTCCTGAATGAGTTGTCTTCTATAGCAGTTTGATGGGCATCTTCCTTCCCTTGCCAGATTCCTGAATTTTGCCTCCAGGATGCCGATACAATGAGTCTGACTGCTGCATTTCCTTTTATATTTGCTTAGGTAATTCTAAAATAAAGTGCTTCTTCCTTGCTGGTGGAGCACCTAATTCCAGATTGAGAAGTAGCTTGTATTTTGAAGGCGATTGCAAGATTGACTTCAAAGCCTTTTCATGTTCTTTGTATGTTTAGGGAGCAGACGTACAGACATACAGACCATAAATTACTGGAAGCTGTAAGAACATGTGGCTTCTTGTAAAAGATAATATGGTCTTGAAATTTCAGCATTCTAGATGGCTGGTAGTTTTTTTTTAATTGCTTCCCTAATTTTGCAATGTACTCCTAGTTGGTATCCTAGAGTACAAAAGGAGTTATGAACATGGGAAGGCCATTCAGCTCTTCAAAGCAGCTTTCTATTCACTTAGTTACTGGCTGACATGTGTCATCACTCCAGCGACCGGTCTTGCCCTGAATGCCCTTGACCGTCAAAATTTATCAATCGAAAACATTGGAATTTTCAATGGATCTCCATCCTGAACAGTTTTTTTAGGTGGAGTTTAAAAGCTTTAGCCTAATCTATGTGTGATGAAACACTTGCTGGCATCACCCTTACAACGGCCTTGCTATGTTTTAAAATGATGCTTCCTTGTTCTGGATGCCGCCAGTAGAGGGACTACTTTCTCTCTGTCTCTGGTGACTGTGCCATGTATTTATTTGAGACTGGGAATTAGCCCTACTCCCTGCTTTCTCTCTATAGCTCTGCAATGTTTCTTTTCCAAATATTTAGCTGTACTCTTTTGAAAGTTATTGGTGAGTCTGATTTTAGGCAGTGTATTCTGTCTCATATTTTGATGCAGTTTAAAAAAAAACTTCTCATTTCCTCCACCCCAGATCACCCAGTCTCTTTGGCTATTTTCTTGCTAATTAACTTAAAGTTTTTCCTCTGTTGATCCTCCTGCCTTCTAAAGTAATTTCGGCTTTATCAAAACCTTTCATAGTTCACATATTTTTATTTAGTCTCTCCTTGACCTTCTCTATCTAAAGGAAAAGAGCTCTTATCTGTATAATGGAAATCTTTGTAGTAAGTGTTTTTTCAACTATCACTGAAGCCTTGATATTCTCTCTAAAGCGTGGTGTTGAGATTTCCACCTGAGGCCTAACCTTAGGTTCAAGGGTTAAAATTGCCTCCTTGAATTTGTGCTAACATGCAAATCAGGAGCAGAATTAGGCCATTTTATTCTTGGAACCTGCTATGCCATTCAATATAATCATTGTTGATCTGCATGTGTTTTGAATTCCACATTCCCATCCATCCCCAATGACCTTTGATTCCATCTCCTAACACGTGTACCGACCTCTCCCTTAAAAGTATTGCAATGCCCCGCCCCCAGAGAGTTTCAAAGTTGTGCAAACCTCTGAGAGAAAATATTTCCTCAGATGGTTGTCATAAAACAGTGCTGCCTAATTTTAAATGGTGTTCTTTAGTTTCCCACAGGATGAAACATTCTTTCCACATGCACCTTTTCAAGACCATAGAATCCCTACAGTGCGGAAACAGGTAATTCGGCCCAACAAGTCCACGCCACCCCTCGAAGAGCATCCCAACCAGACCCATTCCCCTACTGCTGCATTTCCCGTGTCTAACTTACCTAAGCTAAACATCCCGGACACTATGGGTGATTTTACATGGCCAGTCTGCCTACTCTGCACATCTTTGGACTGTGGGAGGAAACCAGAGCACCAGGAGAAACCCCACACAGACACATGGAGAACATGCAGACTCCACACAAACAGTTGCCTGAGGGTGGAATCGAACCCAGGTCCCTGGTGCTGTGAGGCAGCAGTGCTAACCACTGAGCCACTGTGCCACCCTTTGGGATCTTGGGATTCGGGATCTTGTACACTTCAATCAAGTCACTCTTCTAAACTCTAATGGAAACAATCCCAGCCTGACCAACCTATTGTCATATGACAACCTTCTTATTCCAGATATCAGACTTCCTCTCGGCTGCCTTCAATGCATTCGTGTTCTTTCTTAAGCAAGGAGACCAAAACTGCACATTGTATTTGAGATGTGGTCTCAACAATGCCATGTATAACTGAAGCATAATATTCTCATTTTAATGTTCAATTCCTCTCATGAGAAGGCTAATGGAAAACTATCCTTTTATTAATTACTTCTTGTACCTGCCTACTAATTGGTGTCTGATGCACTAGAACCTTGATCGCTCTGTATCTCAGAATTCTGCTGTCATTTATTTAAGTAATATTTTGCTTTTTTATTCTTCCTGCCACAGTGAACACCACATCTTTACACATTATAACACCATCTGCCACTCACTCAACCTGACTACATCAATCTGCATGAGCTTTGGAACATCTTCACAACAAATTTCCATGCCTATCTTTGTGTAATCTGCAAATTTAGTGACCGTGTTTTCACTGTCCTCATTTAAGTCAATGATATTGTAATAACTCAGGAAAACCATCTGGAAAGGAACATCACTTATCGTTGAACACCAAAAGAGAGCCACTACTTGTGCTGAACGTAGGCTAGTCCCAGGCTGGGACAGAATGTTCTGCAGACCCATCCATGCGTCTGATTTTCTTTTTGTCTCCTTCGGTTTATAAGTGTTCTTATATAACTGAATGTTTTTTGCTATCAACAAATCATGGTGGTACTTTTTTTCTACTTTATTAACCACCACCAGTAAATCACCTATGTTTCCAGTTGCTGGGTCTGCATTATATTTGTTTTGTTTTTATATTTGGAAGTGCTATCATACAAAAATGAGTGGGTTTTTTTTATAGTTCATGCACAAGAACACCCAGATCCCTCTGCAGTGCACATTTTTTTGGAATATCTCTCCATTTAAATAATTGTCTGCCTCCTGACTCTTTCTGTTAGAGTGTATGACCTCACACTTTCCCAACAAGTACTATACCAGTACTGAGTAGAGATTATGGACTATATTACAATACTGGAAAGAGAGGATGCATTAGAGGGGTCAAGGATAGAATTTGTTTAGTTGGAGGCAAGTAACAAAAGAGGTTTTATGTCACTACTGAGTGTATTCTATAGGCTGCAAACTACCAGGAAAGATACCTTTGTCCATGCAATCCCTTTTTATTACTCTTCCCCACCCTAATCCTCATCCACCCTCTTTCCGCAATTGTCCACCCTCTTTCCTTGCCCACTCTACTTTCTCCCCCCACTTTTCCTGCCATTCGTTACTGTACCCTTGCTATAGGGAGTAGCACTAGAGAATGCAGCAAAGATTCATGACAATGTTGTTGGGATGAATGGACTTTAGTTATGTGGATAGATTAGAGAAACTGGGGCTGCTGTCCTTAGAGAAGAGATGGCTGAGAGGAGATTTAATTAAGTTGCTCATAATCACGAGGAACAGAGTAGATTAGGGGAAACTTTCCATTGGCAGAAAGATTGAGAACCCAGAGGGTTTGGACTTAAAGGTGAATAACGAGTGAGTGTTAAGATCTGGAACACAGTGCCTAAGAGTGTGGTGGCAGCTCAGATCAATGGTGGCTTTGAAAAGATTGGAAGACAGAAATTTCAGTGCCATGGGAAAAGGCAGTGGAGTGGGAAACCAGATTACATTTGCACTGAACCAGCAGGAACACAATAGGCCAACAGGTCTGAGATAACAAGGTGTAGACCTGGATGAACCCAGCAGGCCAAGCAGCATCAGAGGAGCAGGAAAGCTGACGTTTCGGGCCTAGACCCTTCTTCAGAAAAAAACCTTCATTTTTGTGAAGAAGGGTCTAGGCCCGAAACGTCAGCTTTCCTGCTCCTCTGATGCTGCTTGGCCTGCTGGGTTCATCCAGGTCTACACCTTGTTATCTCAGATTCTCCAGCATCTGCAGTTCCTACTATCTCAGGCCAACAGGTCTCCAGTTTGTAGCAGTTCCATGACTTTATGATCTGTACAGCTGTCTATCACCATCTAGTGAGGGAAACTCAGTGTAGTATCAGATTTATGGAGCAGGTGAGCATTTTATGTTGTTAATTCCTGGATAAATTCTACATAAGAATATTCAGCACCCTGAGCAGTTTAATGATGTGGTGTGTATAGCTGATCATATGGGAGATAAAAAAGTTATATATCTCCAGAACTGTTGTTCAGAAGAATGCATCAGTGAATAGGGTGATGTATTTATAGGAAAGACTGACTTGTGTTTATATAGGACGTGCCGTCTGAAAGGAATGGATGATAGACGCGGTTCTAGGGAATTAAAATGGCTGACGAGTAACTGACTCCCTTCTGTATCTCTGCAATTGTATACTAATAATCTATTTTAGTCAAGTTATTTTCTCTTCTCCTTTCACCAATTCCTCTACAGAGATTTTCCATCTTCTTAATATACTGTACTAACTTTTAACTAAGTATTAGTTGTAATTGCACTCTTTATGATATACCAAATCAAACTATACCACAATTAGCAGAACCCAAGAAGTCTCTCCAGGTTTCTGAAGTGTCATGGTTGATGGCTAATTGTTAAATCAGATACGGTATGCAATCTAGTACTTTACTTCAAACACTGTTAGGAAGTCAGCACTAAAGTGATCTTTATGGAGCTCCATGTTCATCCATCCATTTTTGCTCTTAGAGTGTCTATTTCACTTCTTGGATGTTGAAACCTTAATGACAATATTGCACCTTCTCGCTTGCTGAAATTGATCTCTTTCCACACCACTTACAGATGGCAGGCAGTAGCGGATGAAACTGACTGCCCTTTTGTTGCTACTAATTTTTAGTAATATAGCTCTTGCTGTTTTCCCGCACACTATGATAATTGACCTTCAGCAGCTGATGGCTTGTCCATGACTAAATCAGAGTCCTCCTCCAACTCTGTTTTATCCAACTGAAAATCTTGTGCCTTTAAATTCAGACTCCAGTCTAACCCACAATTACAGTCAGGTTGCAGACTTCAAAGCTCTTTATGTGGACTAGATATAAACTGTGGAGTGGACATTGCGGTTTAGAAGTGTTGATACCCAGTGAGAATAATTTCTGGTGTATTTTACTTTTTTAGCACTGGAATAACTGGCCTTCTACTAGCGGTAAATGCAAACTTGAATTTTCGTGGTCCCTTACTTGATGCTCTGTCCTCTCTGTGAACAGATTTCAGAGAGGGTTGAAAGACGCCTACAAGAAATTGAAAAGGAAATGAGAACTGAAAGACAATTGGCAGAACGTCGTGAAGACCAGCTAGGACACATGGCTGTACAACTGAAAGAGGTGAGACATATTCTCCAAATTGTTATTGGAGACTTGAAACATTTGCTGGTGATTCTGCTTAAAAGCGGCAGTCGGTCCCAGTTATTTTGGTTTCTTAACAGACTTGAGAGTCTTCAGGCAAGGCTACGCGAAAGGGTTCACTGCCAAGGATCATAGTTTTGAAAGCTGTTAAATAAAGTCCGGTTTTTCTACTTCAGTGAATTAAGTTAGTAAGAAGGAAATAGTACAGGAGGACATTTTGACTTTGGGCTGTAGGAAGTGGTGGCAACTGATGGGCCATCTGTCACATACACTACCTTATTTTCCTTTCTATCGCCTTCATGTAAGGGGAATTTTGGTAAAGCATATAACATTTAAGGGGAGGCGATGGCCTAGTGGTATTATTGCTGAACTGTTAATTCAGAGACCCAGATAATGTTCTGGGGACCTGGGTTCGAATTCTGCCTTGGCGGATGGTGGAATTTGAATTCAATAAATATCTGAAATCCATTGTCGATTGTCAGGAAAAACCCATCTGGTTCATGAATGTCCTTTAAGGAAGGAAACTGCCATCTTTACCTGGTCTGGCCTACATGTGATTCTGAATTGTCCTCTGGGCATTTAGTGATGGGCAATAAATGCTGGTGACGCCCTCATCCTGTGAATTAAAAAAAAAAGGCAGCCTGCTGCTGTCTATGCTAAGATTGAACATGCTGCCTTATAAATGGGTTTCAGAAGACTTTAGAATAACTTTCCCAAAGGCCAGGAGTTGAGAAGCATTGACAGGTGTAATGGAATGTTCCAACCATAAGAAGTAGGAACAGAAGTAGGACATTCAGCCCATCGAGTGCACTGCCATTCAATGAGTTTGTGACTGATCTGATAATCCTCAACATCACTTTATTGCTTTTTCCCTATAACCCTTGATTCCCTTGCCAATTAAAAATCTGTCTGTCTCAGCCTTGAATGTATTTAATGATCCAGCCTCAACAGTCTCTGCGATAATTCACCAACCTCAGAGAAGAAATTCCTCCTCATCTCTGTTTTAAATATGCAGTCCCTTAATCTGAGATTATGACGTCTGGGTTTAGACTCTCCCACAACGAGAAACAACCTTCCTTTATCTACCCTGTCAAGTCCCCTAAGAATCTTGTATGTTTTGATAAGATTGCCTCTCATTCTTCTAAATTTCAATGAGTACAGGCCCAACCTACTCAACTTGTCCCCATATGACAGTCCCTCCTTATCCAGTATCATTCTAGTGAACCTTCTCTGGACAGTCTCCAATGGCAGTATTTCTTTCCTTGAATAAGGGGCCCAAACAGCAATCCAGCCTGACTAATCCTTTGTACAGTTTAAGCAAAACCTCCCTACTTCAGTACTCTATTCCATTTGAAATTAAGGTCAATGTTCCATTTCCCTTCCCTATCACCTGCTTAATTTGGATGCTAGGTTTTTGTGATTCATGGATGAGGATTCCCAATTCTTGTGTATCTTTCTGCAGTATCTATCCATTTTAAATATTAAGACAGTCCTCTATTTTTCCTTCCTACACATTTTCCCACATTATTTTTCAACTGCCAGGTTTTTGCCCAGTTACTTAACCTGTTGATATCCTTCTGCAGACTCTGATGATTAGTGTCATCTTTACCACTTGCCTTCCCACCTATTTTGGGTCATCACAAACTTGACTATAGTACATTAACTTTCCTCATCCAAGTCATTGATATATACTATAAATAATTCCTAATGTTGCTTCCTTGATTGCTGAGGTTATATATCTTTTTAAAAAAAGATTGCTTTTTATTTTCCATTATGTCTCTATTTTCTTTTGTTATGAATAATGTCCCTTTATATCCTGTTGTGTATTGAAAATTGAGACCATATTGGTCTGGCAATGGTGGTGATAAATATTGACAAGTTGCACTTCGAATAAAGAAGGTAAGTTGGTCCATTTATGTAGTGATTTTCACGGCTGCAAACTATCCCAAAGCTGTTAAATTACTTTTGAGGTATAGTGACTATTGTTAAGTAGACAAGGATATAGAGTCAGTTTGACTGCATTGTATTCCCATGAACAACATTGTGATGAACGAACAGTTAATCCAGGGTGGGGAACCTGATTGTAATGGTCGCAAACTCTTTGCTGTCTCGTTTAGAGAAGTTTCATGGAGTTTTTTTGCTCATCTGATTGTGGTGGTTAGAGTGTGGACTCGGTTTAATCTCATGTTTGTGCCGAGGCTATTGTGGATATTTTGTACGTTTGCATAAATTTTGAATTTTAATTACCAAATTTCAGTTTTAAACAAAAATTAGATGTTCTTGTTTTTTAGGCAATAGACAATATGATTTATCCTATTGGAACGTTGGACACCCTCGTAAGCAACTATACTGAAAATCTAAGGTTACTGTCTAAATGTCGGTGAATACCAGAAATGTTTCTAATTGCTATCAGTATATTTGGGATGTGGATAATGTTGCAGGTGCCTAGGATTGTAATATGGTGCAAATATGTAATATCATACTGAGGTCGCTAGTGTGCTTAGATGGTGAGGCACATCCTGTGCTTTGAGAAGCAATGTTCCAGAAAAGATAAAACCCAAGATGGAATCCTCGGTAAAATCATTTAACTTTTTAACTTTGATTCTGATTTTGTTGTCAGTAAAATACTGTTTAAAAACTTGAGTAATAATGTATCATGTGTACCCCAACCTTTGGCCCCAAAATCCTGAATTTTTTACCTGGCTCATGCTCGACTTGAGAATCGGTTTGGTGGTAGCGATCTAGTGAGTCTTTTTTTTTTGACAATTTCTCATTTAAACTGTAATAAACAGCTAAGTTGTAATAACATCTATCTCTAGATGGCGTAAAGAGCAGGCATTTGCGGAGTGGTCAAGTGAAATATCTACCAGAGATCTTTATTGTGACAGGGAGTGCCGTGTTTTAAGAAACGTTAATTTCTGATGCAATTCAGCATCTGCAATATTTGGCTATTGAATTAGTCTAAAATGATCTCTGAGCCTGGAGTAGAATAGGGATCACTTTGTTGTATGTTCTGCAGGGAACTTGCTTCTGGCTTTCTATTTCTGACCAGAATGTACTCTATGAACACCAAGATGGTCAGGAAAGGTGGCTACCATCTTAGCATATGCCTGTGACTCCTCGGTTTCACTATTTTGAGAGTCACTGTGCCTCTGAGCTTTAGTCTTTAGCTTCAGATTTTTGCACTTTTCACGGTTTTATTTTATAGCTCTGTGTTTCTTCTCTATTTATTTCCTGCCTGTTTGTTACTTTGTCTCTTTTACCATTTGCCCTGGGTATCCTTCTTAATGATCTTGAAACTTTCTCCACCTCCCTTCAGATATTGAACCCGATCTGGGACCGGAGCTTCTCCTTGTCAACCTGTCTGCTGCTCAAAACATACTTTATTGCAGCCACGGGCTTCTTTTGTAGTCACTGCAACATGAAAACTGTGAACGTCAAGTGTGTCGGGTATTGTCTGCCAGTGTTTCGGTGGTGACCATCTTCGCCATGTGTACAGGTGCTATGCTATGGTGGTAGCCATCTTTGCCAGCCATCTTGCTGTTTGTACTGTACGCTCTGGTCAGAAATAGGTAGTCTGAAGCATCTAAAGTTCCTGGGTGAATTCAGGACCATGGCCAGCGATCATGGAAACTGTCTTTATTGGCAGTTCTCAAGACTAGACGTGGACTTCAACACTCAAAATAGACCTTCTATGTTTTGCATTGAAATCTGGTCTCAAACTCGACTTTTACACGACTTTACAGATGAGCAAAACTGCATTATTGCCTCCACCCAAATGGTGCACTGAATTTAAATCCACTATCCTTCCCTGAGTGTTGGTAGTTGAATGAGTTGTGTTTTCATGATAATCCAGAATTTTAAATCAACCTTTTTTTCTATAGTATTAGTCTGCAACTGATTAGATTAATGAATTTCACTTCAACGTGGAATGTGAGTTCAGAGTACCAGTCAAATTTCATTTCCATTAACATTAATAAAACAAAAATTGTCTCTTGTTAGACAAAGCTTCAGATATTTGGTGTAAAGATTTAACTTTTGCCGTTTATTCTTTGTGAAGGTACAAAGTAAATCTGTCAAAGCATACTGGTGAGTTTATCTCAGAGCTTGGGTAGGTGGATAGGTTTAATACTAGTTATTGTGTGCTTTCCTGCATTCAAATTTCTTATCGTGTCTTGTCTTTTTTGCTCCCTTGGAATTTCTTTGGCAGGCTGAATTCCCAGGCCAATATGCTATTATGAGCTCCATTAAATCAGCTGGATCTTTACTGTTCTGATCTGTGGGATGAATTCATGCCCTAGGAAGCTGACTGCAGCACAGATTTCTGCACACGTGGGTGTGCATGTATGAGCGAGAGACTGGTTTATAGGTTGTCGGAAGTGTACAGATCTTGTGGGACCATCAATGGTTTATGATGTACTCAAGGATGTTGTGCCACAGATTACTCTGTGCATGAACTGTTTATGGTCATTTTTGAGGTCTGCAAGCCTTTTGATACTCAAAACAAAAAGTACATGTGATTGAAGTTGAAAGTGATTTTGAAAATTCTTTCAGTATGCCAAAAGGTTGAAATGAGCAGAGCAGAGGAGTGGGGGGAAGTAAGTCTCATCTCCTATTAAAACTATGACTCATTGCATGCATAGAATTGAGAAAACATGTACAGAGTCAAACATTACTATTATACCTTAAATCCATACTTCTGTAAACATTGGTAACATCTTGCACTCAATAGTACTATTGTGGCCAGGAAATTTCTCAACATTTCATGGGAAGAAATGATTAGAGAATGAGGAATGGAGGAGGATAGATTGTGGCTGCATCTAAAGGCAATAGGTTTTGATGAGATTGAAGAGCACGAAGTAAGAGGAAAGTTGTGTCATTATGGTAACATAACTGGACTACTATCTCTCTGAAATGAGAACTGAACCCATAATCTTCTGTGTCAGAGGTGAAAATGGACTAGTAATCCAGAATGCGAG